GTGTGTGTGTGTGTGCATGCATGCATGCATGCAAGCATGCATGCATGCATGCATGCATGCATGCGTGCGTGCGTGCGTGCGTGCGTGCGTGCGTGCGTTCGTGCGTTCATGCATACATACTTACATACATATTGAATGCATATAATTATACGTACACGTGAACACATATGTATGTTGGCGTTAATAAGCTAAATATAGAGGCGAGATTTCGGACTCCAGCAGGCTGGACGCTTTCCTTGCTGGTGGATGTTGAATCCGAGCCGAAGCGCTTTTGCGGTTTCATCTGCTATCATCTCAGCACCAAGAGCGCCGAGTTCCATGTCGCGCGAATCGCTGTGGTTGCCAGGCACTGGTTCGGTTTTGTTTATATTTTTGGGTACTCTGGGAGCTAGAACCTCTAGCTCTGTGATACATGTGGAGCGCTTAGTGGTATGCCTGGCAGTCTGGCAGGAGCCGCGGAAAGGGATATGGAAAGCACTTCATGCAGTGGATGCTTCGGAAGTGTGCCCTGTTGCCACGAACACAATGCTCATGGAATCTTGCTTGCAGAAGTGCAAGATTCGTCTGCGCGCGAAGGCGCTGCACATGCAAGCTTCGGGCCAGTGCTCAACGAAGGATCTCTCTAAGCGCTTTGGACGAAGCCGTGTCCTTCTACGAACACTTCGGATTCACGGACATGACATGCCGCTTTGATGATCTTGACTTTCAGATCAAAGCACGGTTCACTGCGACATTTGCCATTGCACGTGGCATCATGTTGGTCATGCCCTGATGTTGGTGCGAACTGTAAACATGCCCGGCATATCCTAGGCGATGATATCGATGATGATGAGCACATTCAGACGAGCTTTGGCTGCAAGGGCACACACGGAGTTTCATTTCTGTTGGATGCTGGTTCGTGCCTGCTGCTCGATGTGGCCGATGGCTGACCCGTTAAAGACACTCCGAGCAAACTTGCCACCAGGTGGATGGAGCTGAAAAACATCTCAGCACCTTGGCGATGTTAACTTTTTGTCGTGGAGCACGCAAACCTTTAAATGCTTCGCACGTTCAGCCACTGGCTCTACAGCGTGGCAAAGAGCAGCAGGACTTTCGTGTGAGAGTTCTGAACTACCAGGTAGCTCCTGACGAGCCTGACACGTCGGATGATGATTGAGGACAGCCACTCTGTTTCTGTGTGTGTGTGTGTGTTTGTTTGCTCGGATCTGCTGCTGCGTGTTTGTAGTTGCCTCTGGGCCGCATTTATGTCAGCAAGCCAGGAATTAGCGGTGCACAAGCATCAATGGCAACCCGGCTTACATGGCACACAGTCTTAACACGGCCGTAGGGCTAAAGGGCGAACATGCGATGTATATCTTGGGAGGGGGGTGCAGACCGAAAGTCGGACTCGCTAGACCTGCCTGGACGAGGAATGACGGGGGGGTATCCGCAGCAGATCCCTTCTTCGTTGTTTCCGAGGCCGCAGCTCGCAAACGCTGCTGATGAGGTTTGGAGCCGGCTCTGGCCATTCGGCCGTGCCTCTTGTGCAGCCAGGTTTTGCAAAGAACGGCGCGGGAGGTTGTTCTAAACTAGGGCTCAGCTTGATTATGAAGAAGGCCCATCAGATACTGCAGAATAAGGTTAGTCTTTGCTAGCTGAAGACAGATGAGCAACTGTAGATAAACCAAAGAATCCCATCCATCGTTCTTGCCTCAATATCACATGGCACACGCTTGCATCTTCCACAAAGCGAAGCACTTCTAAAGCGCAACATTTCCTCCACTCTGACCTTTGCCCGATGCATGTCTGTGCAGAGAAGCACCTTATTGGTGTAGTCCCTAAAGGGCCTCTTTTAGATTCAGCCAGCGGTTGTTCATAGTGGGGCCGTGCAGTGCTATGGACCAGCAGCGACCCAGATCTAGAAGGATCCCCGTGGCCACCTGGCAGCTGTGTGCTGCGAGTGTCTGCATTTTCCGGGCACTTGGTCTGAATCGGAGCAGACTGCCGTGAGTGCAGCTGCGCTTGTACAGGGTGCAGGCATATTTGCACGAGCATCTCTCAGCCACTTTCCTGTCGGACGTAAAGGACTGAGGGTGCTCGCAAATGGGGCACTACATAGAATCATAGAGTGATCCTCTCTTGAAGCTCGTCATGTGAGAATCTTCGTCGTTACGTTGGCCGTGGTCAATGTGGTCCAGACTTGGGAAGTTCCATGATTTTCTGAACTGGCTTGGCCGAGTTCCGTTTGCGTTGGTGCGCTAGCGTTGTTCCAATGGTCCGCTACTCGCACGGTTTTCAGCCCACGGGTCTTTCAGACTCTTGGTTGAATCCTTTGCAAGACTCTGCACCGAATCGGGTGCATGCATGTGCTCTGTACAGCATCTGTTTGTAGTAGAAACAGCTGGGTGTTGAGAAGGCTGCTATCTCCTTCTGATCGTCTGCGGTACACCTAGAGGATTCTCTGAGAATGCAGGCGTTCTGCAGCTTGGGCGACGTGGCTCTCCAATTGGCAGTCGCCTTGGCAGCAGGGCTTTGCGGAGGGCTGTGATGCTTGGTTCCTGAGGCTGGTCAAAGCTTGCGCAAGGGCCTTACGCCTTAGCCGCTGAATGGCTGCATGGACAAAGCTGCTTTTCCCCAAGCCGTGTTTAGTACACTCATTACGACTCTCATTACGGGCTTACGGGGTTCTATTCTATCGTTATACAGAGAGAATTGACACCGCTGTGGCATCGTGGTCGTGGTCGTCATGGTTGTCGTGGTGCTCAAAGGTGGTCTCCTGGGCTGTCTTTCCGGGGTCTCGTGGTGGCCTCCTGGCTTTCGTGAAGGTCTCGTGGTCGTCGTGGTGAAATGTGAGATGGTCTGCTGTTTGTCTTTTTGGTGGTCGTGCTGGTTGTGGTGGATGCGATCGTTCGTCGGGATCGTCATGGTCGTCGCGGTGATCTGTCACTGTTTGGGAATGACGCTCGACTGGTTGCTAACGCCCCTGTGCGACAGTGACTGATGACGAGGTCAGGGTGAGTTTGAGGCAGCTGTCACTGCAGCAGTTGCGAAGGCCCCGCTCTCGCCAGCAGCACAGTCCCAGATGCTGTGAAAGTTAGCAGTCAAGAAGAGTTGTGAGCATGGGCAGCACTTTATGATGAGAGTCTCATTCTAGCCTCCGAAAACATCCGCAGGCTGGGGGATTCTGGAGGGGAGGATTTCTGCGGGTTGCAAGATTCGGCGCTGACCTCTATGTCCCCTAGACTGCCCTAGACCAAGAAAGCAGTGCAGATAAGAGACGAAAGCCCTGCACCCTCCGCAAGATTCCGCAAGGCTGAGGAAACCGGCGCACACCTGAGGCTGCTCTTTCGGACGCCTGGAGCCTGGAGTGAGCTGTGTTGCATGGGGTGGCAAGTCCAACTTTTCAAGCTTTCCGGCTTGGCTGCTGGTTGATGTCTACGTCCGCAGGGTGATGATCTGAAAGTGTTGCGCAGCCTCTTGTGACCCGTGCTTTACCACTCCTGGGTTGGGAGGCGAATCACCTTTTCGCGAGCTGCACGGCTATCGACCCCGCTTCGAGGCAGGCTATGGTCCAAGACCCGAGTTTCTTTCATATATTATGGTATGCCGATTATGGATTTGTATGTTTCCTACCATCTAGTATATATTACCCTTTGTAGATTGTATGTTAATTATATGTATTTATATATATATATATAGATATATATACACACATTATCAAGACCCTTTTTCTCTTGAGGGCTGAACGGATGTCAATGGCAAACGCTTTCTGTTAAACTCTCCGAGCTTTGCCGTTCGAAGTCTTCCCGATAACCTTAGGAAACATATGGCAGGGCTGGAGAATGGAAAGCCAGATCAGATCATACTCGCGGTTTCGACGAGCCCTCTGATTGTCGAGATTGCCAGGGTAGGGCTGGGTAGGGCCTTTCTGCTTGCCTGCATGCTTGATCATGTGCTTTCCGGCAATGATCCTGGAGTTGTTCGTCAAAGTCTGCGGGTCTGGTTGGGTATACTTCCCACGCTGGCGCAGGAAATCTCGCTGCTGCGCTGGAAGACTGGCATGCAGTGCGAAGTGCCCGTGGCGAGGCAGTCGTGGAGTCTTCGGTGAAGGTGAGTACCGAAGATTATGATGCTATGGCCTTTGTGATCATGGTGGTGGCGATGGTTGGGACGGCAAAGACAACATGATGCCGGTGACGATGTAGTGCAGTTGTAAGCGGCAAGGAAGTGGCACCAACTGTCGAGATTCGACTTGCCTTTGCTGTTGTGTTCAAAGGTAGGCGTCTCGGCTAGCAAGAGTTCGACTAATCGGACATGGTTTGCTACCATGCGACTACGATACTGTACTTCAAGTGTACCGCTGCCAAAACGGCGCGAAGCCGGGCTTCGATACCTGTCTGGTACTGCGGTTAAACAGCAGAAGTTGAGAAATCGAAGTAGTGTGAGGCTCGTGCTGATCGCCTACAACGCCATGAGATGGCGGCGGTCTGGAGGCAGGCGAAGCTGACAGCAACCAGAGAGATCGGAGTTCTAGTGTTGCACTTAAGAATAGCAGATGTCGTCCCGAAATCTCAACATAGAACCCTGATCCGTGTTAGCTGTAATGGTATCTATCAGTGCAGCTTGGTGTGTTGTGTCGTTACTGCACCTCGCACCGCAGCCATGGCTTGCAAGCGTTGGTCAGCCCGCGCAAGGATACTGACACCGGGCGGACGCTTGTAGTTTGGGCCATGGCTGAAGTAGCTCCCTTGATCCGGTCCCTGCGGGTGTCTGCACGCCTTTCTCGCAAGTCCAAGCAAAAGGCGAGGGCCTCGCGGGTTGCTGTCACTAGGGCTTCCAACGCCGGAAGCTTGGCGCTGGTCTCTGTGGAGCAGCACGCTCTTCTGCAGGACGTGGGGCCCCCGGAAGATGCTGCATGTAATATGTCGCACATTGTGATTTCCACTTCAGGACTTCCCGCTTCTCCAGTGAACCTGTGCTAATGCTCTTGATAGGTATTCCGCCGTCGCGACCGCGTGCTAGACTTGGGTGGCGCCGGCCTTGGCGACGCAGCTGCTACTGCGGTGGCAGCTGCATGGGCTCCTCTTCGAAAGCTGGGTTTGGAGCGGCTGCACCTGGGTGGGAATGACATCAGCGACGCAGGCCTGACCGAGTGGGCATAACGCTGAAATGGCACCAAAACCTCTTCAAGCTTCCCGCTCACCGGTCGTATCCAGTCGTGCAGTCGCCTTGGGTTGGGAAGCTTCTGACCTAGGCCTCGCTGAGCTTCTTGCTGCCATGAAAGCCGGGCCGCCCAGCAAGCTCCGCCGCTTGAACCTCCGTGGAAACCTGCTCGGCTCAGCTGCTGTGGAGGCTGACAGCACAGGGACAGGGAAAAGATGAAATCGCAGTCTTTCGTCAATGTCTGTTAATCACCGGAGACATCGTCACAAGCTGCTGCCATGAAGGTCACGTTCATGGCCAGGGTCTCGAGTCGTTAATGGAACCTTCAAAGCCACAGGCCTTGGTGGAGATGCTGCCATGCTTGCCAAGGCGGGAGGGTTGTGAGATTGAGGGATACGTCCACCACCCCAAACTAGATCCACCTTCGCTTGCGGCGTCTTATGGTCTGGTTTTTGGTTTCAAGTGGCCAGCCTGCAGGCTCGAATCTCTCGACCTGAGCGCCAACAGTCTCAAAGCTGAGACTCTGGAAACACTGCGAGCAGCCTCTGCACAGCGCCAAAGACCGCTACATCTCCTCTGAGCCCGCTCCCAAGTCGATGCTGTTGACTGCAAAGCCTCGGACTGTCAATCGCAGCAAGTTATAATGTGGCGTGCCGCCCTCACCTAAGCCCCTCTAAAGTTTCTAAAGCCAAGCCAATCTCAAGAGCGGCTGTTTTAACCGTCCTATAGGTATTAGGGCGTCCACTTGACTTCCTTTCTGCTTGAATTTCCAGGACATGAAGCGCATCGGAAAGGAAGCTGGCCGCCAACGATGGTTGCTGCAATCTCTTCGAAGCCAATGTAAGCGGCCGCCACACTCGCCATAGAGGTGCTTCTGGGCATCCGGGCGAGATCGCGATCCGCGCTCAAATTCAGTTGACTTTCCACAGCCTGCAACATGCACAGGCCATGCAAAGGACCTTCGGAACTAGCCGTGACAGTAGCCGTAGCGACGTAGCGATCCTGACTGGAATCCTGGCAAGTGTTCAGAAATACATTGCGGGCTTGCGACAGTTCCGTGAGTCTCACACGGGGTAGGATTGCTAATGCTCACCGGCATGATCTTTGCCAGTGTCCATAATGCGAAGACATGCAAGAAAGTCGGAGCGTCGGATATCACAGGCAGGTTGTTGTTGCCCATCTTGGCAGTTCTGTCGCTTCGCAAGGCACACGAGTGCGGCATGGACAACCATCTGGCAACAAAAGGGCTTCGTCCCGGATCGCTTGAAGAGGCAAACAGCTTGGTGGCGCAGTCACTTGCACAGGAGTCTTGCTTGGCCAGGCAGCTTGCTCGGAAAGAGGCAGCCTGCGAGCCCCTTTCACAGCAGCCTTTGGCCGCAGGGCAAGACCCCGGCCGCCAAAGGCAAGCGGCTCATATGACTGGACTCGTTGCATGTGTCAGCCATTCGGACTCGGGTTGGCTTGAGATCTAAGGTGGAAGAGTTCGTTTTTGGGCTGCTGGGGCAAAGTACTGATATATACCCGGTGTATCGTTTCCCTTCACAACAACTCCCGAAACAGATCGACGAGTCCTTGTGTTGATCACATCGCTATGCCAGTGCGTGGATCACTCCGCGTACTGCAACAACCTGCGCCCCTAAAGACCTGGATCTCAGGGGCCAAAACTTATAGTCGGTGTTCCTGGTGATAACTCATAACTGATGATGATGATGGTGATGGTGATGATGATGATGATGATGATTATGATGATTATGATGATGTTTGTATGCCAGCCCCTGGCCAAGGCCTGCCGTAGAGGAGGCACAACAGCAGATCGATAAGCCGCCCTTCCGCAAAGAGCCGTCGGTCTTGGCTTGGCGATTTCTAGGAATTTAAGAAGTTTGCGTCGTGGTTTCTGAAGGGCAGGACGCACAATTTCGGATCGTACCACCAGAAGACTGGCATACCTCTTCAAGTCAAGCCTTAGCTACAAACCGCAAACAACTCACACGGTCAACAGTCTGTGAGAGAAGTCGGATACCTTCGGATCGAGGTTGCTGGCTTGGCAAGCAAGGCAAAGAGCTGATCACAACGTCCCAGCATCTCGGTGCCGAGTTGGGAGGATCAGGATATTGAGAATGATTCAATAGAGCAAGGGCGAGATTCGCAATTCCCCAAGTCGTCTTACACTGCATCTTCTCACTGGCCTAGAATCCCAGAAGCGCTGGTGACTTGATCTTTCGATTGGTCGGCGCATGCCCACGACAACTCAATCGGCTCGTTATCCGCACACCGCCTGTGAGCTGAGGCTCGGCACAAGACAGCCAGGGGGAACTTTGCGAAACTTGGAAGATGGCAATGCCGGCCCGGCTGTCTGTCGCGCATCCCGAGCGCCCGAAACATCAGCCCGCAGCAAGGTGTTCCACACTTAGAGCGCATGTGACGGATGGGCTTGGGGAGCATCGGGCTGTTGTTTCGGAAGCCGGCGGAGCACAGAGATTTGCTCGGCTTGCATCATGCTGAGAGCTGCTGCATATTCAGTGCAGCGGCTGTCAGTGCTGGCGGACTGCGCCACATGTTGCGAACATTGACGTGACGCAAGCTTCTCTGCGAGAAAGTGGATTGCAGAAGGTTGCCGACAGTTGTGTCCCTGATTCACCCATCGTTTCGGGGATAGCACTGCAAACTGTTCGTGAAGGTCCATGCTTACATCAAGTGCATGCACTCACAGATGTGACCATGCCAATCATGTTAACTTGAACTGTTGCACTGCCCGCAACACATTGACATCATCACGCCGGTTTCCATGATGTGGTGGCTAGGTTGGCATACGTAGGACTTTCTTGCATGCTGCCTCTAAGTAACTATCCAACCATGCGTGCGCGGCGATGGCCCACACGGCCACAGCGGAGGCACTGCAAGTCAACAGCAATATCCAGTGAGTGGACCGGAAAAAAGAATCAGGGCTCGGTAAGCCATCCAGGAATCCAGGGAAGCACAGTTTGCAAAGAGACTTCAGGCCTCCAAGGCTAGGTAAGTCCAAGGATCAACTTTGAGTAATTCCCATCAGGCAGTTCGCCCTTGCCAGAAGTTCATGGCTTGCTACTGAGTCCACGGCTAGCGACTAGCGCTCCAGCCAAACCATCTTGTGCCCCTGGGCCCGAGACCCCCCAGTCGTCTTCAACCCGAGGCCTGAAATCCCTGCGAGCCTTCCGCAACGTAAGCGGTGCTGAGCTGTGAGTGCCACTTTGCTCTGCTCTCCGACATGTCCGGGCAGATCCAATGGCGAAGGATGCAGGATATCGTGGATCTCGAGAGCACCGGATGATATTCGGATAACACCACCAGCTGCCATGGCGCGGGCCTTCGCTCTCTGTGCTGTGGCCTTTACGAGGCTTTCAGAATCCGCTGACCCGCTCGAAGTGACGGCCACAGAGGAGGCGAGCTTTCAGTGCATGAACCCCTTGTTCCGCATCCAGTGGCACACCGGCGCCACTGACCTGGCTCAGCTCCTTCCAAGACCTTCTGTCCATCACGACCTACTCAGGTGCCCATTCTGGAACCAGAAAGCCTCGTGCTGCAGTACGAGTCTTGAGCCTTTTCAGCTCCGAATCTTCGATGCACACAGAGATCGCATTGACAAGCAGGTCCAAGTTCTGGAAGAGTACCTCGCTCTGATGCTCAAACTGCGAAGCTCAGACATCTTTGAAGATGCAGTTCAGCTCGAGCAGGATTTTTTGGACAGGGCCATCGACGCAATGCGCAGCGCACTTTCGCATGCCAAGCCCTGCATCCTGCACCTTTTGGCTTTCGTAGCAGGCATGGTCTGCTTCAGTTGCCAGCCTGATTGGGTGGATTATGTTTGGCGTAACCCACTGGGTCAGGTCACGGGTGTAAACGTTGACCCCAATGCTTGTATATATGTGGATCGTGGATGCGGGACGTTCGGACACACAATGCAAGTTGCGTACCTGCATGTAATGGAGAGCCGCTTGGCAAAATATCCCGCAGCTTCTCTGCCAGACTTTTCCATGTTCTTTAGCCGTGAAGCACTGTGCGAATGGCTTCGTGGCACCGTGGCCGTACATCCTTTGGCATTTCAGCCCAGCGACGTCTTGACGAGGCGCTTGAGTCGCGAAGTTCCTGCTGCAAATGGCGGAATGCCGCGGCGACACCTGGACACGCCACTTACGGCAGCTCCTCTTGGAACCAGCTCTAGCACATCGTTGCCTCAAGCTGTGGTTCAGGCCACAGCAATACCGACTTCTTTGCCACTGCCTCAAGCACCCACTGGTCCATCTTCACCAGCACTAGCCTTTGATCCGGCGAAGGATGGCCTAGCATCAGATTTCCGCATGCAGTTTGCTCCCGGATGATCCTGCGTTCGATAGGCTAGCAGACTGGCGCAAGGATCGCACGGATGTTCTTCGTGCACAAGAAGCAACCGGACGGAGACGACACCGCGCACTGGAGCTTGAAAGCATCCTATTTCAAGACGAGACGGACACGGAAGCTGCTGAGGAGAGCAGCAGCACGATACGTTTTGCAGGGCCTGGCAAATAAAGTCAAAAAAAAGATCTGTGCACAAGTCTTACCATGTGCGTTTGTCTCTCTCTCTCTCTCTGTCGCAGTGTCTGCTGTGCATCATGCGACAAGTGCGATCCGTGAGGCGGCCAGGAAAGCTGTCACCTCCCTGCTGAGCCAACTTGGCCATGTCCTTGGTGCGGGTGATGCAGCCGCTTGTAGGAAGCTGTGCGATAATTGCCGGCTTACCGCACTTCTTCGGACAGGTTTGAAAGCCTCTGCTCTGGTACGGAAGCTTTTTGTCCAGATTGACGCTTGCTTGATGTCATGCAATCCTGCCCCATGCTGGCCAAAGAACTCTTCGGGTTGCTCCTGGCAAGTTGCTGGATCAAGCAGGGCATGCCACATGTTCAAGGCTGTGAATGGCAAAGAACTGTGGAGTGCATGTGCTCTTGCGCAGAAGCAGACATGCAGAGAGCCGCATATACCGTATAACCAGCAATCGTCGCACGATTGTTGGTCTGGGCAACACTTAAGATATTCATCTGTCGTGTTTGCTTGTGGACATCACCTGGAATGGCGTGCCCTATGTTTGCAGAAGTGGCCTCTAACCTTTCCAAGCGCACGCTCCTGATTTGGGGTGCCAGTTGCCGGCAAACCTTACATGAGGCCTTCGAGGCGTCGGGTGAGGCCTGGGTATCTGTTGACCTTTCGTCCTGGCACCCGGGTCCCCCTGGTCCCGGGAAAAGCGATGATTGTGCGACGGACGCAGACTTAGAGGCCGCTTTGGGGCGCATCCCTGTGGGCCGCCTGCGCCGTCTGAGACTTCGGGGGAAGTTTACCGATATGGGCCTTGCACCCATCCTAGCAAGGCAAGCTGGTCTCCAGGAGCTCTCACTCATTGGGCCTGAGACCCGAAAGAGGAAACTTGGAGGGAGTGGGAAGGAAGAGCTTACAGGAGAATCTCTGCTTGCAGCAAAGAGGCTGCGACGCTTGGAGGTATCAGGCCTGCCCTCTGCTGTTGCGGCTCTCGCTGGTGCCAAGCGCTTGACACCGGGGCCCTTCGTCAAATTAGAGGAGCTTGTTCTCCACAGCCCCAGCGAATCTGATCTCCAGGCTCATTGCCGCTGCTTAGTTACAGTAGTTGCTCAAGCGGCGATTCATGTTCGTATATGTTGTAGTATATTCTAAGTTACAGTATCTATTTAGTTTATAGTATATTATAGGTCTAATATATTGTAGTCTACTATATGACGTTATATCATGTTATACTATATCAATTATATCATGTTATATTATATCAATTATATCATATTGTGTTATATTATGGGTTGAGTGCATCTCATGAGCTGCGAGGCCGTTCCAACCTTCACGGGGCTGAAGGTCTTGGAGGCCAAAGCACCACGGTACTATATGGGAGAGTAGGAAGATACGGGGTACCTTATTATTTTGGGGTCCTTATAATAAGGATCCCACTATTTAGAGTACTATACTAGGGTCCCCTATTTTTGGAAACCCATATGATCCTAGAGTAGGAGTAGGAGTAGGAGT